ACAGGTGCGAACACTGGTGGGAAGTTTCTGAGGAAACACAGGAAAACTAAAACTAAAATAATAAAATTTTGGGGTTGGGAGGGACGTTAAAAACTCATCCTGTGCCACCTCCTGCCATGGGCATGGACACATTCCACTGTCCCAGGTTGCTCCAAGCGTTGAACCTGGCTTGGGCACTTGCAGGGGCAGCCACAGCTTCCCCGGGCAGCCTGTGCTGTGTCGCTGTCCCTCAGCACGGAAGACTCTCCCGGGATTTCTGGTGCCCCGAGTGCCAGGGCTGCTCTCGCCTTGCCCAGCCGGGGTCAGACACAGCCCACACCCACCTGGGCCGCACCCAGCGCGTTCTCACCTTGCAGGGGTGGTGCTGAGCATCGTCATCAGCCCGGGGGCGGGGCCCAAGCCCGCCTTCCTCCTCATCCTCAACGCCAAAGACATGAGCGAGGTGGCCAGGGCCGAGGTGGAGGTGAACATTCCTGTGACATTCCATGGGCTCTTCAAGAGAGCGTGAGCACAAACAGCGACACCTGGCCCGGGCTTCTTCCAGCTCCCAAAGGTGCAGCCTCCGTTTACAGGTGACCCAAACTCCTTCCACAGCCCTTTGCATTTGTGGGGCTGCTTAACTCAGATCAAGCAGTTCAGTCTTGTCAATGATTCTTCAAAATGGTCAATCAGGTATTTTTTAAATGCACCCTTTGCTACCATTTCCAGTTAAACCACAAGTTGGGGGTGGTGGAGAGGTTCTGTTTATGCAAAATTAAACTTTGTAGCTGCAGCAGAGTGAAAGAAGCGGAAAGAGCAGAGAGCAACCTCAACACTTTTACCTGTGGTAACACTGTGTACAACTGGCTGTGCTCTGTTACATGGTTGAGAATTTTTAGCCTAAACTGAACGATTCTGGATGAAACACCATCCTGGTGATTGCTGTGGGACCCTCAGAGCCATCCCAGCGCAGTTTTCCACAGCTGCTTTGGGAATCCCAAGAGGGTGGCAGGCAGAGTTCTGTTCTTCACCCAGGCTGCAAACTGCACACCTTCCCTTGTGTGTTTGCTCCTTTCCCTTTCTCTTGTCCAAGTGTCCTTGATTTCTGGATTTCATGTAAAAACATGGACATGAAAAAATCAAGCAATTGTTACCCCTTGGGCTGACTTTGCTTCCTTAGAGTGCTACAGATGTTCAGCTTAATCCTTCCTTCTCCCAAAAGAAACTTTCTGCTGATGTTAAAGAGGCTATTGTTGAGAATAAAAACTTCCTGCCAGCAGATTTAAAATCGGGGATTCTTGTTTGTCTTCAATTGTTCAACACTTTTATTAATGGTATCAAAGCATTAGAAAACCTTTATACTCAGAGTTCTGGTTTGAGGGGGCTGCAGTTACATCCTGATGATGGGATGGGGATGGGGGGACACAGCCTGGTACTTCTTCTGTTCCATGATCTCCAAGCACTGGGCAATCACCTAATTAAAAACAAATACAATATAAACAATGAGCCTCAAACAAAACAAAACCCAACCAGTACAACTCATTAGTTCTGCACTTATTTATTTGTTCCTTCAGTTTGTGAAACACTGAACAAGGTAAAATTAACAGTTCAACTCTTATTTTCATGTGAGGCTCATAAAGTGGGAATTTCAGGGCTACAGGACTAAAGAAACTTCTTGCTGCTCTCTGTTATCAAAGTTCCCAAAAACTCCATGAAAATATTTACCATCCACATAGTTCCATAAATAGGCACCATATTTAGAAGGGTTGTGGTGTGATTTAACCCCAGCTGAAACCAGGACAGATTGAGATCTTCAAGTAAACAAACTTCAGAAGTGCATAGAAGATTTTTATTCCTAATAAAGAATCTTACAATAAAAAATAAAAGAACAAAGGCAGCAGCTTTCAGAAAGAACCTAATGGAGGGAGGGACGTCTGCCAATTTCAAATAAAAAAAAAGGCAGGGGAGCATCCCAAATGCACACAGCAAATTTAAAGCAGAAAGAGAAAATTGCAAAAAGCAACATCCCAGGATAAAATAATGTTTTGGAAACAAAAGGAATTCTGAGGAGCCTGAACTCCAAAGAGTGAAGATATGGGTAATTATATGGAAAAAAGGGATTCAGATGCAGATTCAAATTATGGTAATTCAAAGGAGAGGCTCAGTGAGGAAATGCTGTGGTCAAGTAACCAGAATTGAAGATTTTTGATAAACTAATGAGGAAAGAGAGAGAATGAGAATTACAGAGAGAAATTCCATGGAGTGAGAAGTGGGAGCCCCAGGTCTGGATTCAGCACATTGCAAACCCTGAGTGAGTCATGCTCACCCACTGTGAGATTGGAGAATAAAATGGCCTGAAAGGAAAACCCACCTTCCTGGTGTCTTGAGGTAGGATGATCCCATCATCCCAGAGCCTGGCCGAGGAGTAAAAGGCACTGCTTTCTTCCTCTAGCCTGGAGAGGGCAGAGAACAGGCTTAAAAGCACAGCAAAAACACCAGAGCAGTGAAAAATTACAGGTGAAACAGGCAAATCCATCCATCTGAAGAGAACGGGCAGCACTGCTGTTAAAATGAGTCAGAAAGCAGCAAATACCAGAGCTGACCATTCTGCAGTCATGGGAAATCCCTAACAGAAAGACATTAAACTGTGTGGAAATTGAAAATATTTTTGCAGTAGATCCATGTTTGTTTCATTTGTCGGGATGTGTTGCTCTGTAAGATGAACAAAAGTAGATAATTGAACCATGAAATCCCTGTCAGGTTGATATTGAATGTCCTTACTTTGCCTTCAGCTGTTTTAGCTCCAGCTCCTCTCCTGTCCAGTCCCCAGCTGGTGGAACTGTGGGGAAATTCTGAGAATCCACAAGACCAACCCTTGCATTGGGCCACAGGAACAGAAAGTTTGGGCTGAACGATCTCCCACACTGCAAGGGAAAACCAAAGAACAGAACAAACCCACTGAGATGAATCATAAAAATTGTCTGTGGGATGAAACCACCAAGGGGCAAGGCAGGATGGAGCACAGGTGGATTTGTATGAGGACAGACACCCTGTGCTAGGAACCACCACCTCCCCACTGCCTTCAATATTTCTATTTCAATATTTCATTTTGAATTCCAAGCACTTCCATGTTTGATTCTTCCATGGTTGCTTCTCAGCAATCGCATGCATGGTTGCATTTCTTACTTAAATGTGAGCTCAGAGCTCAGTTCCCCAGCTGTGTTTTAGAAATGCAGTGACACTTGAGCAGTGTGGCAGCTGTGTCCCCAAGCCCTGGGCTGTGCCACCCGTACCATGGCGTAGCTGTCACTCCCAAAACAGCCTCCAAAGACAATGGTGATTTTGGGAACAGCAGCACAGGCAACTGCAGCCATCATGGAGGCCTGGGCCTTCAGCCTGTTGGAATGAGCCTCTGCCTGGAATAAAAATAGATGTTTTAAATCCTTTAAGAGTTTATTCCAGATTCCCTCCACTCCCAACAAACTTGTATTTCGAAATTGTTTATTTATTTATTTACAATTCTGCAGAAACAGATCTGGGATCTGATGGAGGTTTTACTTTCCTTAGCCCAGGACAAATCCTACTGGGTTTTAATGCCTTCACTTTCAAAAGAGAAATAGCCAATTTTCTGGAGTGCAGAGTTAGCAGAGGAATCAATAACCTGTATTTCAATGTCAAAAAGCACTGCAAATCCCAAACTTTCCAGCTTGCCTTGCTAACTGAACAGTATCATTTTATACCAGCATCCAGGCCCGCTTAAAATTCAAGTGAGAATGTTCTTAAATCTTTCTGTTAGCAAAGTAATTACAAAGCTTCATCAAGAATGGTTAAAGAAACAGTTTTCCAACAGTTAATAATTCTGAAAATGTAACTTTAGGCCCAAGAAGAACTCAGAGTTGTTGGAAATGCATTGAAGCAAACACGCCTTACCTGTGAGATGCTTGCAGGCCCTGCTGGCTGTGGAGCAGTGTTTTGGAGGAAGAGGATGGGAATTCTCCTCTGGCCACAGAGCTGGACAAAGTGGCTGCCCTTGAGAGCAGCATCGTGAGCCAGCTCCCCATTGCTGGCCACTATCCCCACCAAGTGCCTACAGAACAAACATGGACAGTTGGACTCCATGGTCTGAGAGGTCCTTTCCAACCTCAGCAATTCCATGATTCTCCCTCTTGAGCCCTAGCAATGGCTGGAGTGCTGTGGGACCTGCTGAGGCCACAAAAGCTGTTGAGAAATGCACGTGCAGCCATTGGGATGGGGAATGTTCCCAGCCATACCCTTGCACATGGCCAAATCCTGTCACCAATGTTGTCCCATAGGCAGCCTTGAATTCCTGGAATCTGCTTCCATCCAGCAGCCGGCTCAGGATCTGCAAACAAATCACAGACTTGACTTTACTACAGAATTTGAGGTGAAAATAGGAGAGTTCTGCTAAAAGAAATGCTCTGTTCAAACAGCAGAAGACCTGAGTTCAGCAAGATGAGCACAGAGGGTCTTTGGGTGACTTGCTAAATGCTCAATATGCACAACCCATCCAATTTGTGTTTAGTTTAATTACCAACTGTGTATTTTAAGACAAAGGCCAACTCCAAAATTATTTTAGTTTTACAAAGCACAGCTGTTCCTGTGCATAAAAATGTAAAAAAGCAAAAACCAACCCCCAGTGTGTGCAGTTTCAGATTTTGTGCGTAAGAAATGTTTGGCTGATATTGCTCATGCTTTTCTCCAACACAGTAAAAAGCTGCCTTCAAAGCCTTTTACAGTCAATTCCCTCAAGTGCAGGGATTTACCACTGGAAAAGGCACTGCATTCACATCCTTGGAGACAAAACCTCATGTAGAACACAATGGAAACAGCGTGGGCAGCTCTGCATGTCTCTGCTTCAGCTTTAGTTCCATCCCAACCTCAAACAAGGGTGACTTGAGCTGTGTTGTTTTTTCAGTCAGTAATTTCACCATTTCTTTTACATTATTTGAATGCTTGGGGGGAAGAAACAAAAAGGTAGGGGAAGGGAAACACAGACATGAAAGGGGTGTATGTTCTCAAGGCAGCCAACACAGTGCAAGACATAAAGCAAGCATCCCAACAGTGCATGGAATCAGCTGGGCAACACTGGCACAATCTGGATTATTTTATCTCCAACAGGATTTCAGGTATTTAAATGTTTTTATCATAAATATTTAAATATTTTCTATAATAGTTAAAATTTATTCATTATAAATATTTTATTAATAAATTTAATTTTTTTTCTAGAATCCCACAGAGCTGTTGCCATCCTGCTTTATTTCAGGCTTAAGACAGGCTGGCAACAGATGAGGTAATAATTCAGAATAACACCTGGAGCTGTGGGGCAGAGCAGAGTGAAGGATGCAGGGATGAAATGCCCGCTCCCTTACCAGTTTGACAGGAAGAGTGCAGCTGTAAGCCAGTGGTGCCAGGCCCAGGAGCTCCTCAGGGCTGTACAAGGGACTGTCAGGCTCCCTGCCCTGCTCTGGCACTGGCTCACAGTTTAAGGTAGAGACAATATTACGAATGCACTCATAGGCCTCCTTTTCTGAGGGTGCAAAATGGTCACTGCAGCCACTGACTCTAGGAGCGAGAGACATTAATTAGCATTGAATTAATGAGTTCTATATCCTGAGAGAAACCCCAGACTCTAGGAAAAAAGCTGAGACTCTCCAAATGCCCTGTGGAAATACTGTGTGATTTGCTTCTGTATGAATGAGCTGAAAGCAGTCACCCAGTGGAATTTCTGTGCAGTCCAATCCCAAATTAAATTCACAGTAAGGAGATGATCTTCCCCATGACTTTTGTGTTTATCTGGATTAAGGAAAGACCTTGGGATTTATTCTTTGTGATGCTGTTGTTGCAGACAATATCAAAAAGGGAAAAGAGGAAAGCAAACTTCAGGAATTATTTCAAACTAAGTGGTTGCAGCCAAGATATAAGGACAGGAATGTATTCCATGTAGCATAATTGGGTTAAATATGTGTATTCTAGAAAACACTTGGAAAAGAGGAGATAGCATCCCTCTTCTATAGCTGCTCCCTGTGAGGCACAGAGGAAATTACTTCCCTGAAGTCGTCCAAGAAGTATGTGGAACAACAGAGATCCAAATCCAACCTGTCCAGTCCCTGCCTCACCCCATCAATAACCTCATTTTACTTCCATTTGGCTGATTTAACCCAAACCCCTGACCCTGAGAAGGCAAGCCAGTGTAAGCACAGGTTCCACTCTGATCCTTTCTCTGAAATGCCAATTCACATTCTGTTGGAGATTTTTTCAGAGATGGCTTAGAAAGCAGCTGTAAGGAGCAGATTCTCACAGCCTGCTTCTGTAAACAGCAGAGGTTCTCAGGTTATTTTTAATTACAGGTAAAAGTGACAAACATCAAGGCCTTGAGAGCCTTGCACATCAGAGTTCTCAGGCAGCTTTCTCATAACAAGTGGATGTTCTATCTTTGGCTGTTTTGGGAAAGCAAGAATAATTTTGAGAACCCAAATCTTGGTATTGGAAACATAAGGAGGGGTTGGTGTGTTATCTCTGACCTATGGTGAGCTCAGATTTTGCTATATGGATGAAGTGAATTAACACTGATATAAAAAAGTGATTGATGGATCAATAAAGGGAGTGGATGGCTGACCAACGCAAGGTGGGTCGTCTCCCCTCCAACTTCAAGAACATTCCTTTCAGGCTGAGCGTGCTGGATTCCCTGCTTTTGGGGAATCTCCACCTACTGTGAGTGCAGCCTGGCTCCTCCAAGCTCCTCAGGAGAGACATCTTCTCCCGTGGCAGCTTTCACCAGGGGCGGCCCAGCGAGGAACAGCATCCCAATCTTATCAATGATCACGGATTCCTCGGCCATGGTGGGCACGTAGGCACCTCCAGCCACGCAGGAGCCACACACCACGGCCACCTGAGGGGACATGGACACAGCAGGGCTGGACAGGGGACAGCAAAGGCAAAGCCCAGCCCAAAGTTGTCTCAAAAATGCACAAAGTGCTAAATCACAAACAAACCAGAAATTTTACTACGCATTTACACGTTCCCTACACCCCCTTGCACTCCCCATGCCACTGTACCTGAGGGATCCCCATGGCAGACATGATTGCCTCGTTGTAGAAAACCCTGCCACCGTGCAGCTTGTCAGGAAACAGCTCTGACTGGGGGGCAGGGAAAAGAAAAAGGGATTTTTAATGGTAACTACGAAACTTGAGGCTTCCTCTTCACTCCATTCATTCCCAAACACGCCAAAACTGACACTGGGAAGGTCCCCATTAATAATCACTCCTGATTAATATTTCATATATTTCATATACAGCATTCATTATGGTATTTATTCCTTTATACGGTGTCAAATACCCCAAAAATACCTATTTTCTTTGAAAGCACAGGTTAAGTTTTGTGATTTTTTTCTGAAATCAATATATTCTACACAAACTGACTGTAAATGTGGAGAAGGGAAGGGTGGTAGTTCTACTTCATCTGTGAAATCCCTTTGGCAGTTTCCTTTTTTTGCTTAGTTTTGGATACAATTCCAGGTTAACTTCCAGGTAACTTTTAAAATTTAATAACTTTAATTAACTTTAAAATTCCAGGTAACTTCTCCTTTGTGCTTGCCCTCCACTGGAGAGAGAACAACTACAGTCTCTAGGACAGGATGACCTCTGCATTTCATAGAAGAACCTGTTCACATTGTTATTTTGCAGTCAGAATTGCAAAAACTCCACGCTGAAAGGCCACAGAGCTTAGTGCACCACTGGCACAAACAGGACAATAAAATACAGAACACTTGAGAGACTGGAGTGAAAACACCTCCCACTTTATCAGCCACAAAAGCAGCTCAGCACACTCACTGGAGTTTCTAAGCTCTGTCAGGTGGGAGGGCAGGGCTAGGCCAGGGGCTGAAATAAACGCTGATATTTTGTGCTCTGCAGAGTGCCAGCAGTACCTGCAGGGGCAGGAAGGCTCCCCCACTGTCCACCAGGTGCACAGACAGCAGCCTGTTCTCCATGGCAATTTCCTGGGCCCTCAGCTGCTTTTTCACTCCAATTGGGTAAATGGTTCCTCCTTTCACAGTGGCATCAGCCGCAAAGAAGACACACCAGATCCCACAGATTCTGCCAATTCCTGCAAGCAGTACCACAGATTTTTATTGGGGCTCTCTAAAGCAACAGGCAAAGCAAGGGGGGAAAACCTTTTAACTTTATCAGGCGTTTTTCTCAGTAATGCTACATCAAGAAGCTCCAAATTAATATGAAAATACCACACAGAGAAGAAATCTACACTATTCTCTGGAATGACAGTATTTAAAAAATAATCCAAATGACAGAAAAACCTCAAATAAATTTACTTACTTCTGGTGACAATGTAACAGAAAGAAATACACTGTAACTATCCCTTGAGATAAAAGGGAAGGCAATTAAAAATTACCCCTATAAAACTGAAAAGTGTAACAATCTGGGATGAAAAAAAGGGTTTTCATACTGTACTTCTAGCTACTTTTTGAACTGGAACCACTCTTCAAAAGGCAATTTCGCTGATATTGAATGAAATTGAATTTCACTGAACTTCAATGAAATTTCATTTTGAGAGCTGTTCCAGTTTAAAGAGACAATGTCTGCATAGAAAAGCAATTGTCTGTGATTTGAAAAACACTTCCAAACGTATGTTACAGCTCCTGTCTCTCACATAACTCTGTCCTCTCTTTAAGAGGAGCTGATTTGACACATCACCCTACATCTTTTGAGACAAAAATTAGCGAGTGGTAAGTGGAATTACTAAATCTAGAAGGAATTAAAAACTGTTCTTTCAAAAGTTTCTCCCATTACTATAAAACAGCAGTGGCTGAACTCCTCCCTGCTGGGAATAAGAACTGGACAAAACCAGTGTTCACTTTTCCTAGGAAAGCACTTCAGATGCCAAAACACCCCATAACCTTCATTGCACGCATCCTTTCCCGCCCGTTCCCCTCTCCCAGAGCCGCAGCACGCCGTTACCCGTGAGGCAGCCGGCAGCAGGGACATTCCCGTAGGGCAGGTGCAGCCCTGCCAGCGGGGACAGCTCCAG